CGCTATTATTTTTAACTTTGTCTCCAATTTAGCGACCAATTTAGCGACCAATTTTAATTATTATTTAAATAATTATATTAATATATTAGCGATCGAATAAATCGGTCGCTATTTTTTAAAATTTTACCACGGATTTAGCGATCGATTTAGCGATCGATTTATTATATTATTTTCGGTCGCTATTTTGGTCTCCAAAGAATAAGTGACCAAATTATTTAGCGACCACCTGATCGGTCGCTATTTAGCGACCGATCTGTAATCGGTCGCTATTTAGCGACCGATCTGTAATCGGTTGCTAACGAATTAGCGACTTGCTCTTTTATGACCAACCATTTCGGTCGCTAATTTCGGTCGCTAACAGAATAGCGACCGATTTTTAGCCATTAGCGACCGATTTTTTCGGTCGCTAATACCGTTTTTTCTTGTAGTGATCGAGGATTCTCAACATTTGCTCCATCGATCTCTAATCGATCAAATATCTTTTCTGAAGAAGTTGATCAAGACTCAATAAATTATGTTTTATGGTTAGAACATAGAGCACATCCAAAATTATTGTAGATTTGTCGTATCTTCGTTTTATTATTATTCTTTATTTCCCTTCACAGCTCACTCTTGAATTATCTGCAAATTTCACCTTCAATTTCACATTTTCATCTAGATCGAAAAATAAACTATTCTAAAATGATATGTGATTCGAACAACTAGTATCCAAATACCAAGATTCACCAAAAGTCTCTTCTAGTTTCGTCATGGTCACCATTAACAACACTTCATCCTCAAAATCTTCCTTGTGTGCAATATTTGCTTTTTCTTCTTTACTCCAACAATTAGTAGCATAATAGTCATACTTGTAACAGTTGTAACACTATATATTTTTTGTCTCTGTTACCTTTCGATTGTGAAGAGTTCTCTTATTTCCTTTCTGAGCCTTTACCACCATTGTTTCTACCTTTTCCTCTATTACCTTCATTCTTCTGGTCTTGTTTTGTCAACAATGTTTGTTCTATGTTTAACTTCTCTTTTTCTTTCTCACGCAATCGTTGTTTGTGAGTCTCTAATGATCCTTGTAGTTCATCACATTTCAACAAATTGATATCCTTAGACTTTTCGATAGCTACAAAAATTATATTGAACCTAACATCGAGGGTTCTCAACACTTTCTCCACCATCGCTCGTTCTTTCAATCTTTCACCACATGACTTCATTAAGTTTGTTATCGACACCAATCTTGCAAAATATTCTTGGATAATCTCTTGTGTTCCCATCTGCAATAACTCATATTGACGATGCAATATTTGAAGTCGCACCACCTTCAACCTCTCCCCGTCTGCGTGACTATGCGTTAGTATATCTCAGGCTTCTTTCGTCGAGTTTGCTAATAAAATATTCTCAAAGTTATTTTCATCGACACACTAATGAATATAGAACTAATTTTGTACGTTTCTTTCTTTTATCACACGATGTCTCGGTGAAGTTCTCTAGTAACATCTCATATTCATTTAAAACTATGTCTAATACTTCTTAAAAACCAAGAATGGTCTTCATCTTCACACACCAACTTCATATTCTACCATCGTCATTCTTATTCTTTTTTTTTTTTTTCAAATTTTGAAGCTCTTGATACCATTATTAGTGGAAAGGGGTGAGTTAGGCTAACCAACCTAACAAAATATTCGTTATATATAATTGTTGAATTATTATTTAACAAAAATTAAGATATTAGAATTTATTATACTAGAGTTTTTTATTTTAAGTATTATTATTTTAATCACTTAGGACATTATATAAATATATGCATATGAAATTATATGATGAATAAATAGGTGTTTATGAAATATAATTATTATGATTGAAACTAAATTATTACCTTGATTTTTTTTTATTGTGATGATAATATATTTGTGTAGGAACAAACGTGTTGGAACTCAGAAAAAATGAGTTTGAAGTTAGAAAAAGTAATTTTTATTTTGTTGGTTTTTTATCATTAGAAAAAATAGATAAATAGAAGTTATTTAATTGTGACGTGGATACTAATTTGGATGAATATAGTGTGCAGAATTGGAATATAATAAATCCCTTTAAGTGGCACCCAACGTTGACTGGTAGGTCCGCCAGCATATATAATTTACCGGTGTACACACAATGATCTCATCATTTTTGTTTTTTCTGATCTTCCAACATTTTCTTAAATTTTAGTGTATTAAAAAAAGTGTTTAATTGAACAATAAGACTAAAGAGTTCTAAATTATTGGACTTTATTGTATTTTATAATATTTATTGGACTTTATTGTTTTAAAAATAAGACTCAAGAAGTCAAAGTATTGTAATTTTTTTAGAGAATTATATGTAACTTGTAACTTTAATTTGGATGATACTTATTTTCCTTCAAACTTGTAACTTTAATTCCAACACTCGGTTTTATATCCATAAATATAAACAATCTACTACAAATTAGTGTTTGAAATCGGATAATTTTCTCTAATAAAAATACAAAAGAAATAGAAAATATGACACAAGAATACTATAAAGAATATTAATCGAAAAGTTAAGGAAGATTTCTCATTTTTAAATATAAAAATTATTTTTTTTAACAAGAAGTAAGAGATCATTTTTAAAAAGAAATAACAGAAAATTTTTCTTATAAAACATGTTAATGGGTCGTTCTCTTTCATTTTTAATCTACTCGATTAACCTACTAAATGAGACAAACTGAAACAAGTTAACAAACTACAATTATTAATCTATCCTATTAATTTGAAATGAATTGACGAAAATATAATCTTTAGGTGTTACAATTCTAACACACAATACATTTTTAATTAGATTTTTTACCTATATTCTAAATGAGTTATGCTTTTTTTAAAGTATGTCTAATCCCTACTAGATTAGCATGTGTTAATTTCTTATTTTGAATCACTTATAAAATAATAAATATTGAAAAAATATTTTAAAAATGTAATAAAATTAATTTTAATAATAAATAATAAAACAAATCATAATTATCAAATAATTGATTAAATATTTATAATAATAAAATTATTAGTTAATTAATAAAAATAATTAGTGAAATAACTCATGGTTATAAAATAATTAATAATTATGATTCGGAAAATTCCTTTCCTATGATTAGGAAAGTCTTGTATATGAGAAAAAAACACGAAGAAAATATAAATTACTAGAAAATTAAACTTTTTTTAAACTAATTATTTAAAGTTCATAAAACCTTTATAAGCATTAAAAAAATAGAACTTAACAAACTATTTATCTAAATGTGAAATTTAAAGTTTTTACAAGTATTTTATTAGTTAAAAGAGAGTTTATATTTCGTATTTAACTATCTTAAACGTTATAGATTGTAACATATTAGCGTATAAAGTTTAAAAAAGATAATTACTTTAAAAAATAAGTCAAAATACATATTTATTTTTCGTTAGGAATAGTTTTAAATAATAGTCATTCTAGTAGAATTTAGAAATTTTCAAAGACTTTAATATAATTTAAGTGAGGAAACTCAATATATTTCTTTCACTCTTTATACTTCTTTGTGAAAAAAGAGTTTTCTTTTAAACAAAATTTAAGTGCAAGTTATTTTAAATACAACTCAATATTTTCTTTTGTATTTTCTTTTTCACTTATACGAACAATTTTCACAGTACGTAGTGTCTAATAATACTTGTGATTACATCCAATAATGAATAATCCATATGAAACTAAAACTAAATAATATATAATTATTTTAGTAGTTCATTTTAGTCTTAGTAGGATATTTGGATTGCAATTGGAATATATCTCCAACATTTTCTTCATTTTTATTATATTGAAAAATTATTTAATTTAATATTTAAAACAAGAAGAAAAAACATTGGAATTTAGTAACTTAAAACACGACAAAAAAACACCATATTATGGTCTTCAAAGATAACTTATTATTACACAAACAGTTATTATTATTGAAGCAGAATATACTCTTGTATCTAGTTGTGATACACATACAATATAACTAAAAATAATTTAAAAGTGACGTATGAAAAATAAAATTATTTTACGTACATTATTATAAAATTAATAAATAAATATTTTTTAAAATTATATTAAAATAAATTGAATTATAAATTATTATATTATATTATATTATAATATGTTTATATTTTAAGATAATATTGAAGATCTAATCATAATGTTATTTTTATATTAAATAATTACTCAATCAAATATAAAATTTAAATACTATTTATTTTGTTTTTTTTTTAATTTTAATAAAATAAAATCAATATTTGACTTTTTTATTACAATTATTTTTGTGATTTTTATTATAAAATTAATAAATATATTGACCCTACGTTTAATAATTTCTTTCATTTTCATAATTTCTTTCGAATTCCACATTATGAAGTTTTTTTATGCAATTATAAAAAAAAGCTTATAAATAAGATTAGATAAACTCATTAGTTGGTGCATTTGAAGTAAATGTATTAAATAATATGAGTTGTCATGTACTGCCTACCCATTGAGTGAGTCAATATTAATGCACCGACTAACACTGGGAACCGAATTAATGGACACTGCTACCCACTGGACTGGGAAGAGCAAGGTCTCAAATGAATGGTTGGTGGTACTGCTTTCTTGTTAAGTTTATTATTTTAGGATTTTGACATGTTTATTCTAATGGAATCAAGTTTTTTAAGCAATATCAGAGAAAATAAACTTGTGTTTGGTTGTGGGGAAAGATGGTATGATAAAGAAAAAAAACGAAAAAACAAGCTGGTTGGATATATGAAGAAGAAATGGTACAAGTATCAGTTGATTTCACATTCTGATATTTAAGAGAAGAAAGATGAATTAGCATTTGGTTCAGTACTGTGTTTATTAAATCCGCCATTACCAAACAACCATATGTGCTGTCTCACCCTTAACATTGTTTCTGGGAATTTATTCATTTCTCATAAATAAAAGTAGAATACGTAGCATTCTCCATCGTCGCACAATCATACAAACAAACATCACAGGATAAGATTTATAGCTTCCTTCAGATGTTTATCAAACCAATATATCATGATTTTATGAGCTTTGTCTGCAGCCTCCGCAGCTTTTGGATCATTAGGATCGTACCTCAAACTCCAACCATGTGAGACGTTCGGAAATATTTTTACGTAATAATCAACCTGCACACATATCAGAAAATTTGCCTCACTGACCATAAAAAGAAATTACTTGGAGAAATATAGGACAAGAAAATCATCTAAGTGACCTTAGGTATAGCATTCTGTAGGACTTGCTTAAATTCTAGTATAAGCTCTGGAGGAGAAATTGTATCATTCTCACCTCCAAGAATAGCAATCGGAGTCTTCATACCTGAAAGCAAGATCATAAACAATTAACACTTTTAACAATTAAAAAGAAGCTATGGCATAATTATGGTATTTTTTTTCTTTGGATATACTGAAGGAACCCTAAGCAAAATATGTAAATTCATACCACGAATGTCATCCACTTCCACATATGCTGGATGTATTAACACATTAGTTTGAACATACTTGAATTTCCCAAGCTCAGCAGCGGTCTTACCTGAGAGAAAGAAAAAAAAGAAAAAAAAAAAACATATTACTTTAAATTTAATTTGTTTTTCGATTCTTTTCTAGTTAGAGTCATGCTTATTCTTAAAATCATTTAAATTTCCTCGAAAGTCACTAATATTGAAATTTTGGGCTTCTAAAGGTTGCCTACGAGGATTAAAGAAGTTTTTGACAGAAGGAGGATTCAAGAAGAATAAGTTACACAAAGCAAAGGAAAGGAGATAAAGAAACACCCAAAAAGAGGAAGCCACTCACCGCCCCAACAAAAACCAGCAACTCCCACAGCAGAAAAACCTTTACGTTTTAAGGCTTCAATAACAGGTTTTGCAGCTTCAAAACCTTTTTCCTGCAAATTTAACATCAAAATTGGATTTTGAGAAAAAAAAAAAACAGGAAACAACCATTTGAGAAAATTCAAATAAATAAGAAAGTATCATTAAGTACGAATTAACCGGTTCATGGTCTTGTATCCAAACGGGTAAGGGCCTGTTCACATTATCAGAATCAAAAGGGTCGCCATTGAAGAAATCAGGAGCCACAACAAAATATCCAGTAGCTGCGACCTTGTCTACAACCTCCCTTCACATTTTGTAACCAATAGTATTACTTATCAGGGGATCATAAAGAGAGAATAAAGAGAGCAAAAATCAGTAAATTAAGCTTAGGAAGTAAACATACCTGAAAATTGGTGCTGTAAATCCTACAAGACAAACTCAGCATATGAAGTTAATAATTATTCGTAGAACCAAAAAAAAGATACACCAAACAACAAATTAAAAGCGTCATCATCTACTCTTGTTTCTATTTATATATAAAAGTCACAGCTTTCTGTTTCATAGACATTCTTTTTTCAATTTCTTGATCATTATTTAAAATCAAGTAAGCAAAGAGTTCAATATTTAGAACTTCAATAAAATGATACCATAAAATAATAAAAATGTTCTTAATATTTAGAAGGTAATTAATTAAATGAATGAATGAATATACCAAATACATCGGAAACAAGAAGAATGGCGAAGATGGAGAAAGGGGAACCCGAGACATAAGAATTAAGACCACCAATATTAGTAACATAGCCAGCACCACTTGATGCATTTAGAATTGGTTTGAATGCAATTCACTTCCTATCATTTTTCTCTCTCTTTTTTCTTGATGATATGCTTTTCAATGCTAAACTTCTGTTCCATTTTGGTCTATAAATGCAGGAGCAGGATCCGAAAAATAAATAGAGTAAGCACGAAGACTTAAAACATAAATAAATTGAAAAATAAAATTGTGGACGCAAAATCCAAAATATAAATAAATTGAGAGGATGCAAGGATCCAAAAAATATATGAGTAGAAATGGGGACTAAAAAATAAATAGAGTGGTCGACGGACTCAATTGAAAAGACGTGGAAATCCGAAAAAAAAAAAAAAAAAAAGTGGGTGTAATAATCTAAAACATAAATTGAGTAGGCGTGACCTCTTGAAAAATAAATTGAGTGATATGAAACTAAATAAGAAAATCGTGTATATCAATAATTTTATTAATATAATTTATATATATAATGTATTTTTTTAATTAATTATTAATAGTTAAGATAATTTTTTAAAAAGAAAATAAAAATATCTTAATATAATTTATTGTTTAAATGATATACTTTATCTAATTGTTTGTTTATTTTTGCATGTATGATAAATTAAAAAAAATATGGAAGCAAATTTAATGAAATTCACTTAGCGTTTTTTGAATTTGTTTAGTAAAATCAGTACAGATAATTTTTTTCTTAAAATTAGCAATTTGTTTAGTGTTTTTTTATCCATTGAACCATTTTAATTGTTTAAAGCTTTTCGGATTCATTTAGCATAAATATGTCGGAGCTCATGTAACTAATTTACATGTAAATTCGCTAAGTGATTTTTAATACGTTGAACAAATTCGTCAAATTTCATTTATGTCAAATATTATTTTAAGTTCTATTATATAATTATGAAGAGCAAATGTGTATTGATAGTTTTGAATACCTTTGTTGTTATATAAAGAAGTCTTTGAAGACTGAAAAATATAAATTACCTTCGTTGTACAAATGATGCTATAAGTTTATCAATTAAAGTTGTTATTGATCATATTTGTTTCATTTTCTTCTTATTTCTTTGTTTTACTTTTTGTTTTTATCTTTTTCATCTTCTTCCATTCAATTTCTTCCCTGTTTACATGTTATTTTTTGTTTTTCATCTCTTCATCATGTTCTACTTCACTTTTATTGTTGATTCCCAGACTAAAGTTTGTTCTATGTTTTAAATTTGATTCTTAATAATTCTAATCAATCGATTATAATTCATTATAGTTAATGTAATTGAGGTTATTTGATTCAATGTCTTTTTTACATCACAATTCAATTTATAGGTTTAAGTGATTGCTTAATTTAGAAATTGAGTTATAACTACGAATTTCAAATGGATTATAATTGATTGAAACTGTTGTGAATTTGTTTTTGTGATTGCAAGACAATTTCATAAAAAATTAATGATAATCATAAAAACAAGTCTATGATTGAAGAATCAACATAATTTCTTATTATAATCTTCACTAATCTTAATCAATCTTCAATTCATTTTTCATTTTGATTTTGCTTTTACTTTCAAACCTTAATTTATAATATTTTTTTAAAATTTTAGAGCTTTGTAGAAATAGATTTAATTCAATGTTTATACATTTTAGGTTTATTACTTTTATTTACATGTTTTTATTTACTGTTTTTAATATATTAAATTACTGTTTTTAATTTACAATTAAAAAATCATAAAAGCCCTCCTATTTTATTGCTTTTGATATAAAAATTAAGATTTAAATAAAATAAAACAATTCTTTATAAGAATACTTCTTAGACTAGTCCAAATACTCTATTATTTCACTACTACAATATATGCTTTCAACGTCGCCATTTAACGTCGGTTAAAGTTGAGCCGACGTTAAATACACTTTCAACGTCGGTTGGTTAAAAAGCGACGTTGAAAGTTGAATGTTGGACACTTTTAACGTCGGTTCCAAGTCAACCGACGTAGAAAGTACATTCAACGTCGGTTCTAGATGAACCGAGCGTTGAAAGTCTTTGTATGGACACTTTCAACGTCGGTTCCGGATGAACCGACGTTGAATGTCTTTGTATGGACAAATAAATATCCGTGTAAATATATATTTATTTATATATATATATTTTCCGGAAAGTGTTTTTATTTTTTTCGTAAAAAATTCACTTAAGTTAGAGAATTGTCACCGATAGGATTCGAATATAGTATTTTATAGAGTTGAAAATTGATACTCCAACCACTAAACTACTATAATTTTTTGATAATAATTTACAAATAAATTATATTTATATACAAATAAATATATATCCGTGTAAATATATAAATATAGAATATATAAATACAAATATATTTATATATTTTGATATATTTATATATTTTTATGTTGGATGTGAGGGCGCGATCGAGGGTGAAAGTGAGATTGACTCTCGCTTAAGTGAAAATACGTTAAAGCTCACGAAATTCACTCGTTCAAGCCTAGCTTGAGCGAAAATTGGTATTTTTCGCTTGAGCGAATGTGTCACTTGAGCGAATGATGCGTTTCCCAAATTTATTTTATATCATTATATAAATAAATTATAAATATTATATTCTGTCATTAAATTACAAACCCATATAAAGAGACTCGCTCACAAATTTGACATCAAATTTTGAAAACCCACTCGACACACACTTTCACCTTCGAGCGTGCCCTCACATCCAATATATAAATATATAATTATTTAAATATATCAAAATATATAAATATATTTGTATTTATATATTTACACGGATATATATTTATTTGTATATAAATATAATTTATTTGTAAGTTATTATCAAAAAATTCGAGTAGTTTAGTGGTTGGAGTATCGACCTCCAACACTAAGGTACTGGGTTTGAATCCTGTCAGTGACAAAAAAATAATTTGGTAATGCTTTAAACTTTAAAAAAATATGATAAATAATGAAAATATAATATAAAAGAGAGAGGGACCTAATAAAAATATAATATAAAAGAGAGGGGGGATTTCTAGATAAATAGAGGGATAGGAAATAAATAAAAAAATTTGATTTGAAAAATAAGACTTTCAACGTCGGTTCTATTTAACCGACGTTGAAAGTCCGATAACTTTCCACGTCGGTTAAATAGAACCGACGTTGAAAGTCTTAACTTTCAACGTCGCTCGATACAACGTCGATTCTGGAACCGACGTTGAAGACCTTATTTGTAGTAGTGTTTTCATAACCAATTATTTAATGAGAACTATAACGATAACAAGAGTGGTGATGGAAAGCCATAAAAAAAATAAGAGTGATGAAAATAGAACTAAACTTTGTGTCAAAATTGATAATATGTAATGAAAGATGATAACATGGTGATGTGTAAATGGATTTTATTTTATTTTCTAAAAGGTGTATATTTCATTAGCCCTTGACATATTTATACTCAAGGGCTTGAAGTAAAGTTTTTTAGTTGTTTCTCATTATTAATATGCAAGATATTTTGTCAATATGAAGGAAAATCTTCACTAGTGGAAAAATAGCTATGACGAGTTTTTATCACGGTCGTAGTCCACCCGTCATAGTATGTAGCGCAGTGGTAATTTTGTAATTAAATCATAAACTTTCTATGTCGGGTAAATTTTAACCGACATAGTAAGTGGAAAGTTCACTTTCTATGTCGGTAAATTTTTAACCGACATAAAGTACTTTCTATGTCGTTGAAATTTAACCGACATAGAAAGTGTATATTAAATAAAAAAAATTAAATATATAAGTATATAAATATTTATATATCAAAATATATAAATATATTTGTATTTATATATTTTGTATATAAATATAATTTATTTGTAAGTTATGTATCAGAAATTTGTAGTAGTTTAGTGGTTGGAGTATCAGTCTTCAACTCTAAGGTACTGGGTTCGAATCTTGTTAGACACAAATCTCTTAAACAGATAATAAAATAATATATTATAAAGTATAATAAAAATATAGTATGAATAAATAAATAAAAATTGTACTAGTGTAGTGGTTGGTCTAATTCTAGACTCTAATGTACTTGGGTTCGAATCCTATCGATAACAATTTTTGTAAAAAGTCCATTACTTTCTATGTTGGTTCATTACAACCGACATAAAAAGTCATACTTTCTATGACCCCTGTATTTATGTCGCCTCTTTAACCGACATAAAAACATTTTTTGTACTAGTGCTTATTGGATCACCACTTGATTATTTTTCCTTATCAAAAGTTAATTAAAGAGTCATCATATTTCATATTTTTTTTAAAATGTAGCATTTATTAAATTTTGTTACATGTTTATTTTTGTTATAAAAATGAGTAAGTTTAAGAGTAGAGTTAATTGAACTTTTTGAAAAAAAATAAAATTATAAGTTAATTTAGTTGATAGTATTTGAAAAGTGATATCTAAAAGGAGGTTTCTAACAGAATAAAATAACATTATTTATAAGACTTTTATGATGTTGTTTTGAGTAACGGATAATAATAGTAATGGATGAAATCAAACTATAAGATTTTTAGACTCTAGTTTAAGAATCTATACAAATATTTCACATAAAGGTTAAAATAGTAAAATAAGGAGTGAAAAAATGATATTAATATTTGAAAATAAGGTAAAACATGGACTAAGTTGGGTTTTCATACCATTTCTTAAAAAAAATAAAAAGTTTAATTTATAATTTTTGTTCTTATAATTTATCTAAATTTATATTTTTATATTTTATATAAATTTTTAATATAAAAGATCTAATATAAAGTATTATAAATCATGATATCTCAAATATCAATCGATCATCATTTACCAATATATTTACAATAAAAAAATAGAACCCACCGATATATTTACCATCAAAATCACCGAAAATTCCCCCATCAATATTTTATTTAATTATCTTAGGCATTATCTAAAGCATAGGAATTT